CGGCCGGCAAAAAGAAGAAAGGTTCTCAGGTGAGAGTTTTAAAATGGTTTGCTTTAAATGAAATGAATGATAATGTCGATAGTTAATGTACAGATTAAAGGGGAAAGAGGATTTTAAATAATTAAAATATCTCAGGAAAACGTGATCTCATCGGTGTGTAATGATAATGAGTTGAAAGTTGCCGTACTGGTTGATCTAATTAAAAATGCGCATAAAGTCGGTGTTCCACGAGATTATTATATTGCCTCACGACGTCCGTCGGATCCATCCGAAAAGACTCGTTCCCATAAAATGGCATCATCCTCTCGTCTAGCCGGTGTCTCTCCACGAAGTAGCTCCGCGAGACCGTCACCTCGGTATTTCTATTGTGTTTATCATTGTTATTGTCATTTGTTATCATTATTGTAATCGTTGTCATTGACAGTTTTTGATAGTTAACATTACGAATTGCAGGCAGCATGCATACGTCGTAAACGACGATCATCCGCGATCGAATGCACTCGGTAAAAGAACATCCGCTCGACCTGAAGAAGAGTCGAAAGTTCGTATGGTACGTTTTGTTTTTGATTCTGAAATATCAGATTTATTTTAATCGTAATCGCTCTGGTATGATCTTGCATTCATTCGTTCAGCTACGTCGTGGACGTCGCTCATCATCGACCGTTCGTGAAATATTTACGACAATCTCGAATAAAGTGTTCTTGAGACGATGTGCATCACCCGGTGGACACAGACGAGCGTCAGACGATGCTGTGGACATGAACGATGCTTATTCAGGGTTATCACCCGATCCAGGTAATTGACTATTTGATCGAATAAAGAGTTATCATATCATAGTATTACGAGCACTGAAAATTTTAATTTGTGGAATTTAGTTTAATTTAAGATATTAAAGGAGAAAGAATGTTTCACCATTTAGTTTGTGTTGATTCCATTAAAACTATTAGTGGATACAGGTTGACAACGTCTCTTGAGAAGGTATTTTGGAAATTTTGAATGAGTACAAAGATATTGCGATATGAACACAATCATCAACATGGAGGTGGATGCTCTAGGATTATTATTGTTGTGAATGAATTTCTAGTGAAGTTTTCTGTTTACTGCAAACTTATTGGTATTCTATTGTGATTGAGTGTGTAGAATTGACCACTCCTGCTTGAATCTGGTGGCTTTATTCAGAGCAACGCATTATTACAGGTAGAAAGAAATGGTATTCTGTTGTGATTGAGTGTGTAGAATTGACCACTTCTGCTCGAATCTGGTGGCTTTATTCAGAGCAACGCATTATTACAGGTAGAAAGAAAAAGCTGAATGTTGGGTATTGTTTTTTGAGCAGTGCAAAGAAATTTCTCAGTAAACATTTGTTTACGTTTCAAAATCCTTTCTTATTTGTTTGCTGATTGTACTGAATGTCATCCATCCATCGTCTGTTTCATGCTTACTTATTATTTAAATGAAAAAGGTAATGTGGTAATGAAATCAGTCATTTGTGGCGTAAATAATGGATTATAGTAAAGCGACTTACGTATCAGTCATCTTTAATGTAAACTCGCAAAGAAAAACTGGATGATCTGTTGAGCAATATCAGTCGCATTCCATTTCCGTGTTGATAGGAGGAAACACTTTAAAGCTTATTTAAATCGTGAAGGTTTATTTGGAACGAAGAATGAGAAAAGTGCGTAGGTTAGTGAGTGAGTCAGTGAAAATGAATTGACATTGGGATTGTTAAATTTGTGGTTGTTTCAGAAAAGACTCCGTTAGCAAATTCGACGTCAGTTGACGGTGTATCGCATGTGTACGTTGGTGATGGTGATGAGAATGAGGGTGCAGAGGGAGCATCTGGTCAAAAAGCCACCCCAAAACCTCATCAGCATGAGCGAAATGAGCAAGTTACTGGCTTGACTAAAATTCTATCATTCGGAAATATCGAAGGCGATGGTGACGTTCGGGAAAGCAGTAGCAGTGGTAGTAGTAGTGCAGCAGCAGCAGCAATGACTGCAACCGCAACGACGACGTGTCAAGAAGATGACAAAGCTGAAACGTCAGAAGCAAAGAAAGGGAAAGAAGAACCCAGTGGTGCAATTGAAGATGGTGGCGATGCGGTTAGGTTACGACATGCAAAGAACGTTACTGGGGAGCAGCCATCTGCAAGCAGAGCCAATGCCTCCAAAGAGAGCAGTGTTGATCGTTCGCATCAGCATGCTCACAGTAGCAGTCGTACAGGTCGTGAAACCAAAAAGGGAAGCGCTGCACATACTCCGTCGACGTCGACATCAAGACATAGTCATCACCATCATCAGCAGATGTCCGATGGAACCAGGAGAAGCGCACTCGCGGCTTGTGCAGTGGCAGATTCTGATGAAGGAATGACAACAACGCATCAACGAAGATCAAGACGTGAATCACCGCGAAAACATTTAACTGTTAATTCGAAGGTGAAGCCAGTGGCACCGTCACCGGTTCGAAACGTCGCCAACTCAAACTGGATGAAAGTACCGCCGGACGAGGAACCTGACAATTTGCTTCCGTGAGTTTTTGGTTTATTTTGTTTTATTTATTTGGTGATTCAGTGGTTTATTTGTTCGATTTTTGATTTTGTTACTGGTGTCGTTATTGGGATATTCATTTGATTCCTCGTTTCGTTTTGTTGATTCAATTCAAATGTTTATTCTATTATTGAATCGTTGGCACTGAATTTTGAAGGGATGCTAATTGAGATTGAGCTATTGTCCGCTGTTTGTGGTGTTTCCGGTGTGAATAAAGGTGATTTTGCAGAACCGCAATACGACGTAAAGAGTCGGCTGAGAAGTCGAAAGTGATCGCGAACGGGAAGATTGTGAAGCGGAATTCGTCGAAGGCTTCATCGAAATGCTCAAATAGCTCTAAGTCGTCACCTAGGGTCAGTTTGTTGTTATTGTTGATGAACATGACGATAATGGTGTTGTTACTATTCGATCAGGTGAATATCGATTCTTGTGAATGAAGATGTTCATATTTAAGTTTGATGACCCAGCGAACTCGTTGTTGGATCAGTATGATGGTCATACGGGACGGAATACGACCGAACGACGTCGATGGCATACGACACCTATTCGACCGAACGCTTTGTTGCGTAGAAATCAACCGAATACTCTGGCCACTGGTCTCAAAGCTACGCAAGTGCATATCAGAGGTATATCGCTTCCTATTTGTTCATTTCTGTCGACATATATTCTTCAGATTCCCGTTTCTTCGTTTAGTTTAAGCACACATCTGTGGCATACATCTGTCTGTTCATCCATACGTTTTTGAGACTATCAAACTTCGTTCGTAAATTTTTTGTTTGCTTCATTGCAGATAGACGTTCAACGACGAGTTTTGGCCTGACAACGGAAGGCAAGTTGTTTGTTCGTGTTGTTGTAGAGACCATATGAAATGCTAATTCGCCATGTTTTTACGGCGGTCTTTACGGCTTGACGAATTATTTCTCTTTTACGACCGAATACTCGTCAAATGTTATGGTATCGCTGCATGCACTATTTGTTGTAGATTAGGTTTTTTTGGAACATTTGTTACTATTTGTTTTACAGAACACAATAAATTGAGACGAAGTGATAAGATGAAACGTGGCAGTTCGAGTGCGTTATCATGCAGTGATCAGTCACACGTGGACAGTGATGAAGAGAACAGCGCTGCATCGGTGTTGAGTCCTTTGGCCGATACGACCGCCATTCTGCAGCAAGTAAGTGGACATTTTTAGTGTTTTGCTTTTCCTTTGCGATTGTGAATTATTATTGTAAATTTCGCCATTTCTATATTTGTTACGATTATCATTGTCATGATTATCATTTCTAGTATGTTAATATGATTTAACGTGAGTACTACACCATTGTGGATGTTCTGATTATGATTGCGAATATTACTTTCTGAGTAGTTTTAAGTCATTTTCGGTGTGTACAGCATGCGATTTCAAGTTAGTACAGTGGTAATTGAAGTTTTGGTGCTGTTAATGAGACGACGAGGGAAATTACAGAATTGTTTATGTTCCTGATGAGCTCCTAATGATTTTTTGTTTTTGTAATAAAGCGATTGATGTGGTTGTTTGCAGAAAGGTATTGAATCTCGAGAACGTCGCGCTAAACGCCACAAACGTCGAGAGGAAGATGCGAAGAGCTCTCCGAAGCGGTCGACCGATTCCTCGTTATTGTCTACGCGAGAATCTGTTGCCGCCACGAAGACGACACCGTCCAACCAGATGGTGTCGACGAATCTGTTGGATGATGTAACCAACGAGTTGGAACGATTAGAGCAAATGCGTGGTAGCGCAGGGGAACGAAGAGCAGGCGGAAACATGCCGAAGACAGGTGGTGCGGGAACGACGAGTGGAAATTTAACATCTTTAACGCTATTGGCAAACGGATATCCTGTTCCATCGTCGATGGCCACTGCATCAGCAAAGTCGCCCCCTTCAAAAACACTCACCACTTCGGGTTTGTTGGCTACGAATTGTTGATTTTTATTTGATAACTATTTGAAGTGTAGAAAAATTTCGACAACAATGTGATGCGGAGTAATTGAATGGTTGAATTGTTGTGGAATGCAATCAGTGAATATTTTTATGTTTTCATTTTGATGATTTTAACCAATGCCAGTGACCCGTCAGATATCTTCCCTCAGTGATAGTGAGTGCCTGAAGGATGTTGAAATTATTAGACGTTTCGCATTCTTTGCATTTTTTCAGCGTCTAGTAGTAGCCAGATAAGTAAGA